GTTAGATCAAAGGAGAGTCTTTGTCATAGTTCAGTTTTGATGTTTTTGTCTTTCTTTTTTTTCTTTCTTTTTATTTGTTTAAAAGCCAACAATTTGAAATCAAATAACTTTTATCAGTTCTTCAGTGCAATATAGATTTTTCTTTAACTACTTTTACCTCAGAAAGTAAGATGTGTACCTCTTCACTGAAAACAAAATGAATATTCTCTTTATTGTTGTATTTTATTTTATTTTATTTTATTTATTTATTTTGAGATGGAGATTTGCTCTTGTTGCTCAGGCTGGAGTGCAATGGTGCAATCTCAGGTCACCACAACCTCTACCTCCCGGGCTCAAACGGTTCTCCCGCCTCAGCCTCCCGAGTAGCTGGACCACAGGCATGTGCCATCACGCCTGGCTAATTTTATATTTTCAGTAGAGACAGGGTTTCTCCATGTTGGTCAGGCTGGTCCCTAACTCCAGACCTCAGGTGATCCTCCCACCTCGGCCTCCCAAAGTGCTGGGATTACAGGCGTGAGCAACCGCACCTGGCCTGCATTTTTTTAAATAAGATATAATGTATAGTTAATTACTTAAATTAGACCTTCGACTAACAGGCTTATTACTAACAGATCAATTCTAGTAAAATAAAATAGAGTTTTGAACACATGCATTTTCTGCAACTTCTGTGAAACCTGAACCGGCATAACCAAGACGTTAATTATTATGAGAACCTGCCATTCCACATACTATGTGCTTAAGATCGTTTGGAAGCAAATTCCTGTTCAGATAATTTCAAATCTGACAATGCAGTGATAGTTTTTATTAGGATAACATCAAAATAGTTAAAATGCATGCATAGTACATTTTAAAATGAAAATCTGTGTAATCCCCAGCTTAAGAACCTAAGAGAATCCCAAAAGTTCATTTGTAACTTTTGATGTTTTGCTATACTAAACACATTTTGTCCTAAAAAGCAGTATCACAAATGATGGTTAAGTTGCTTTGTTAGTCCTAAGAGCCTATTTAGCCAGTTATGTAATTGAGCTTTATAATAATGTTAGGAACCATAAACCTTTTTGAAGCACTAGTGGAAAGGAGTGGGAAAAGGGGGCTTGAACTTTGGCATCAGCATCTCTGGTCATGATGGAAGCAGGTGATATCAGTGGAGGAGACTCTAACAAAAATTGCTCACTTGGGAAGAGGAGGGGAATCCATCTGAGACTGGAGGTTTAGCAATTATATAGTTTGTAAATCTGGACTGGATAGTAATGAATGTACCTTAAAAGTACTCCATCTTGACATGTACATTTTGAAAGGCTTATCACAGTAAATATAGCTCTTTAGGCAAACATGCACTTTATTAAAATGGTTCAGTTGCCATGACAACATATCCGGAATTTATAGCTCCTTGTTTTGACAGTACTTCATTTCCACTTTCCAAGGCACTGAAATCCAAGGCTAAAGTTCTTAACAGCCCCTTCTCTCATTGTATGATGAATTTCTGTGGTTTAGAAAACTTAGACATGCAAAATGTCATTTGCAGAATCTGTCATGTGACTTTATAGTCATATATATGAATTTTAAGTAGGTATTTTTCAGTTTCGAAATGCCTTCTTTATAATTTTTTATTACCAAACCTACATAGTATCATAGTTCAATGACCAGAGATCCAAAAAATAACAGTCCTCTAACCTTATTTCCCAAAGGCAACAACCTTCTTTTCTTTCAGCTGATTTTTTTTTTTTTTTTAGTATTTACTTCAAATCCCTCAACACCATACTTATATTGCTGCTTGGTTTGTATTACTATTTGCTTTGTAATTTTAGCTGTCATCAGTTGCCTTCTTAATACGGAAGATAAAATTTTAGCCCTGTCTGTTTTTTCCATCCTTCCATGAAAGTGATAATCATAGTTTTACTGATTTTATAGCAACTTATTACCAATTTTGGCTTGATCAGTATGCACCATGTTTATTATTAGAACCATATTTACAACATTTACAGGTGAAATATATGCTATGGATATGTTTTCTTCCACAATTCATTTTATTTTCTTTGGCATTAATAATTATAAACGTTTTTATTTTCTTCTTTTATTAGTTTTCTGTGTAGTTGTCACTAATTCATCCTCAAAGTTTCCCCTAGTTATTTAACCTCCTCCCATTATCTTTAAACATTAAGCATTGTATTAATCTCATCTTCTTAAAGAAATTTCCCCTGGTTCCTTCTGATTAGCTCCAGTCTGAACTGTTACTCTTTAGGCCTGCTGCAGAGCTCTCATCCTAGAGATTTTCACCTCTTTCCTTTATATTATTTTCTTTCTTTGTTTACTTCCTTGTTTTGTTGGAGGATTTTCTCCAGTAGCCTCCCAAGAAATGGTATATTGGAAGCAAATTATTTGCATTCCTTGTGTATTTGAAAATATTATTATTCTATCTGATTTTTAATTAGGTGGATATAAAATTTAGGGAAATCATTTTCTCTCATTTCTGGTATTGGTATTGAGAAATCCAATACAGTTCAGAATTGTTACTCTATTTTGATTCTATGAAATCTTTTCTTCCCTTTCTGGAAGCTTATAGAATCATTTCTGTGTCCCAGTGTTCTAAAATTTCTTGATAATGAGCCTCGTTCTGGGTCTGTTTTCATTCATTGTGAAAGACACGAAGTGGGTCTTTTCCATTTTTCATTTTGGAAACTCATGCCCTTCAGTTATGTAGAACTTTATTTCTTTGATTATTTTTGTTGGTTTTTTTTCTCTGTTTGTTTTCTGAGACTTTTATTATGCCTATATTTTCATACATTGCCCTCATGACCTGATCCCCTAATTATTTTATATTTTTTTTTTTTTTTTTTTTGAGACAGAGTCTCATTCTGTTGCCCAGGCTGGAGAGCAGTGACGTAATCTCGGCTCACTGCAACCTCCACCTCCCAGGTTCAAGCGATTCTCCTGCCTTGGCCTCCCGAGTAGCTGGGATTACAGGCGCGTGCCAACACGTCTGGCTAATTTTTGTATTTTTGGTAGAGATGGGGTTTCACCATGTTGGCCAGGCTGGTCTTGAACTCCTGACCTTGAGTGATCCGCCCGCCTCGGCCTCCCAAAGTGCTGGGATTACAGGCATGAACCACCATGCCTGGCCTATATATTTTCTGTCCACTTTCTGGGAGATTTCCTTAGCTTAGTAACCAATGAATTATCCATTTCTGCTATTATATTTTTCATTTCTGAGAGTACTTTTTTCTCCTCTTTATATCTCTCTCTCTCTTTTTTTTTTTTCCTGGAAAATGGTCTTGTTTTATAAATGCAATCTCTTCCAGTTTTCTTAGCTCTGTATATTTGATCTGTTCATACATGTTGCTTTCTACAAATATCTATTGATCTTTGGTTGGTTGCTTATATTTACAAGAAAGACACTAACCACTGACTAGAAGCTCTGCACATGTATATGATTTATAGACTATGGCCTTCAATAAAGGGTGTTCTGAATGGGATGTCTCCTTGGGAAACCCCTGATAGCAGTATCTTTAGTTTTTTCTCTTGGCTGGTCAGATTCCTTAGAAAAGAATCACTTTATATGATTCTGCTCTCTTGCCTGAAGGACATAAGCCTGTTTCTGTTTTGGGAAGTATAGGGGTAAGAAGGCTGGGAGAGAGGGGCAGATCTCAGCATTTATTTTGTAACTTTCATGTAATCCCCATGAATTTTGTAGGATATACTTATCATCAATATAGGATTCCTCCATCCAAATACCCTCTATTTTATCCACTCCAGAGAATAAGTCTGTAGTTTTCTACCAGAATGGTTATAGTAGTTACTTATTGTATGGCATAGGTAGAGAGAAGGTAAATAGCAGTATTGTACATAATCAACTACTTAAACATTATTTCAGCAGGTCCTTCTAGCCACACCTGTCCCCATTCCAGAGGTGTCATTTTCTGAACCTTTTTAGATGACTGCAGCATAAATCAAGTGCTTCTCCAGTTTCCATAGCCAGTTTAGGATCTGTGAGATTGGTTAATCAGTTGTCAGTCATTATGTACTTCTTAGCTTCCAAAGTTTTGTTGCTATTGACTTTTCTCCAGTTCTCTTTGTCCCTCTACACTTAGATATCTTTTAAACATAGCATTGAGATGGAGCAGAAGTTAAGTGTGGTCAGCCTGGTATCTTTTTCCAAAAGTTGTAAATAACCAGATTTTTTAAAGTTAAAAGATACATATATTCATATTTTAAACTTAATTCATGCGATCCTCTTTAATTCCTATTTATTTCATACCAAATTGATTTTTCACTCTTACTAAGTAACTTGGCCTCAAGTTACCTATTAATCTGAACTTTTTAAATTTTCTTCCTTCTACCTCACAATTGTTCTATATGTCCCCCTGTTCTCTCAGACCTCACTACTGTTGTCTTCATCCCATCACTCCAGCCTCTTCTGGAACCTTCTCCATCCCAGAGATACGCTAAATGACCTCATTTCCATTTATCTTAATCTGTGTGCTCCTTGAACTGCCTATTTGTAAGTCTACCTAAGTTTCTTAAGTAAAAAACAAAAACAAAAACAAAACAACTTTCCTTAAACCTTACTCTTTTCAGTCTTCCCCTTAAAAAAAAAAAAAAGTGCTCTTCATCTGATTTTTTTGCTCTCTATTTTCTCCTTAACTCTGTCCTACTTAGTCTTATATGTAAACTTTTTTGAAAATCACCTTCTAAACAAAACTGCCAACTCCTTCTTGATCATAGCCTACTTGACTACCTCCTTTCCGTTGAAACCCATTGTTGTGTTGTTTTTTAATTCTTCTAATTCTTGTCTTCTTCTCGTTTAACTGCTCAGGTTTTTCCCTTCTTGTCCCTCTTCTTCAACATTTTCCTTATATGTGGGCTTCTACTTCCTTAGGCTACCTAGAGAACAGTGCAGCTAAAAGTTCATATTTACTGATTTTCAAGCCGCTTTATTAAAAGTGACAAATTTTAAATAATCACTTTTATGACACTAATAAGGTTTACCTTTTAATATTTAGGCAGGTGCTGTAAAGGATTATATTAAGATGATGCTTCAGAATGATTCACTTAAATTTCTGGTTTTTGCTCACCATTTAAGCATGCTCCAAGCTTGCACAGAAGCAGTCATCGAAAATAAGGTATGTTGCTATTTTTTAATTAAATACTTTTTAGAATGCATATTTTTACTATACTAAACTTCAGTTGTAGTCTCATAATTGAGGAGTTTTTTGTCTTCTTTAGATGATGGTATATAAATTATTACACATTTTTCTTGAAAATTATATTAGTATTATATGTGATATACTATTAAATTTTCTCTTTTCTTAACTGATCTCATAATTTTCCACTGACCAAATTATCTGGATTGGTTAAAAATATGCTGCCATGATAGGCTATAATGTGAATTTCATTTTTGTTCCTGGATATACCATTTTAGAGTGGCGTAGGTGGTTAAACGTTAGACTTTCTATTTACCTGCATGGTGGCCTTTGAATGTGGGTGACATAGAGAGAAAAGAAAGAATGAATTTGGCCAATGTTAGTACCCAACTGCAGTCATACCATTTAAACTTCCAGGCAGTGTATGGAAAATGATTACTAAAATTTAGTATAGATGTATTTGAAACATATGGCCTAAGTAATTTATCAGGTTAGCTCCATCAAGCCATGTGGCTTTACTGCATCTTCTTAGGTCTACCTTGATTTCCAGTAGTCCACCAGTGAGTGGCAACATCTTCCTTTGTTTCTATCAAAGATAAAAACTTAGCATACATTGTTTAAACTTTAGTTAATATGTTCATTAATATTACCAAAGAAATACTTCTAGTATTTCCTCCATAGGAAGAGTTATAATAAAGTGCTGTACATTAAAAGGTACTTTCTCACTGATTATATAGTTTCTGAAAAACACCCTCTAAGAGTTAATTAACCTTAATATTTTTTAAATGATTGGGCAAGAAATTAGATTCTTAATATTTTTCTTATTCTGATTCCATTATACCTTAAAACTACTGGGATCGATTCGAAGTATGGTAGTCTTTTTTTCTTACATCCATTTTACTGATATGTTTAGAATCCCATTTAGCTTTACTAAGAGTTAAAAATGTAGATATAGGCCAGGTGTGGTGGCTCACACCTGTAATCCCAGCACTTTGGGAGGCCGAGGGGAACGGATCACCTGAGGTCGGGAGTTCCAGACCAGCCTGACCAACATGGAGAAACCCCGTCTCTACTAAAAATACAGAATTAGCCGGGCGTGGTGGCACATGCCTGTAATCGCAGCTACTCGAGAGACTGAGGCAGGAGAATCGCTTGAACCTAGGAGGAGGCAGAGGTTGCAGTGAGCTGAAATCCCGCCACTGCACTCCAGCCTTGGCAATAAGAGCGAAACTTCTTCTCAAAAAGAAAAAAAAGATATTTATGGGGTTGGAGGTGAATTTTTCCCCAACTCTCCCTACCCTGACAATGTATTTTCTTTAGAAAGACCCTCAGAGGATTTTATAATCTTCCTTAATGGCTATTAAATGGTTCATTGGTCAACGTATACTTGCTCTTTGAGGACAGAACATTAATACGGGACATTCTCTTTAATAATTAACTTGGATATTCCCTTATAAAAGTGAATATTCATATGTTCCAACTATTTAAGGCTACATTTTCTATAGCAGTACATATATGAATAAGGTTTTTTGAAATTTAGGAATATTTTTAGAAGTTGGATAATGACTTCTTTTTCTAACACATAGTGATAACCCCCTTTTCTCAACTCAAATCATTCTTAAAGACAGCAATGTTCAGTTTAACACTTAATGTTTCCCTACATTTTTATTTATTTATTTATTTATTTTATTTATTTATTTTTGAGACGGAGTCTCGCTCTGTCGCGCAGGCTGGAGTGCAGTGGCGCGATCTCGGCTCACTGCAAGCTCCGCCTCCCAGGTTTACGCCATTCTCCTGCCTCAGCCTCCTGAGTAGCTGAGACTACAGGCGCCCGCCACCGCGCCGGGCTAATTTTTTTTTTTTTTTTCCCTTGTATTTTTAGTAGAGACGGGGTTTCACCATGGTCTCGATCTCCTGACCTTGTGATCCGCCCGCCTCGGCCTCCCAAAATGCTGGGATTACAGGCGTGAGCCACCGCGCCCGGCCTGTTTCCCTGCTTTTTAAAAATGTGTGTGGTTGCATCAGTGCCCCACCTCACTGGAGATGACCGTATCACATATTTCTTTTAAGTTTAATAACGTGTAAAACCAGAATTCAAACGATAGATTAAAAACTCTGTTTTCTGGCTGGGCACAACGAGGCGGGCGGATCACGAGGTCAGGAGATGGAGACCATCCTGGCTAACACTGTGAAACCCCGTCTCTACTAAAAATACAAAAAATTAGACACGCATGGTGGCAGGCGCCTGTAATCCCAGCTGCTCGGGAGGCTGAGGCAGGAGAATGGTGTGAACCCGGGAGGTGGAGCTTGCAGTGAGCAGAGATCACGCCACTATACTCCAGCCTGGGCGACAGAGCAAGACTCCGTCTCAAAAAAATAAAAAAATAAATAAAGCTCTATTTTCCCAGTTAATATTTGAGATATTTCAGAAATAAATGTACTACTCTTCATGAATCCATAATTTGTGGGCAGAATCATCTTTCTCTTTTCTCACGTCTGGCTTTATTTTCACTTTAGAATTAGTGATCTTAAAACTTTAGAGTTAGTCTGATCCATGGTTTAAAGTTGCATGTCAATTTACGTAGAATTTTACTGAAGACAGCATTAGCTTAATTCATAAAAGATATGTGGAGCTTCAGCTATATACAAGGCATTGCCCTTGGCATTGATGGGATAAAGATGAATTAGACATAGACTCTACCCTCAAGTAGCTTAAAAGATTAAAAAAATAAGAAATTGTTATAAGAAGCTATTAAAAAACTTGGTAAGATTCTTCTTGTATAACATTTACCAATCTGTCATCTTAACCAAGTTCCATTTTGTTATGTGACCGTAAAAATAAGCTGTAAAATATATAAAATGAGATGGGTTCATAGGGGTTTGTCCTAATTTTGCCGTTTCCCTTGTTGATGCTAGACTCGTTACATTAGGATAGATGGAGGTGTTTCATCTTCAGAAAGAATACATCTGGTTAATCAGTTTCAAAAGGATCCTGACACTCGTGTGGCTATCCTAAGCATTCAAGCTGCTGGCCAGGTAAGAAATTTTCAATGAAATGTCATTGAAATAAGAAAAAAGGCCATTCACTATAACTTTGGTTTATAAACTTATAATTTTCTATCTTGATGCCTTGTATAATAAATATTAATTCTTCTTCAGAGAGTTCCAGAAAGTATAATAGAAAGAGGCCTTGACGTCTTTGACACAGATCTCCTAAATTTTCAAGGAAAGTATGTCTTTGAAAGAATATACTTTCAAAGAAGAGTAAGAAGTGTATAGTTAATTTGATTGTAATCTTTTTGCGTGACCTTTTTTCCTTCCTTTGAATTTGTATAGGCTTTTCTCATACCTGTCTCATATCCAACCCCTCACTTACTTGATTAGGTTTGAAGGCAAGTAAACAGAAATTCAGATTAAGACTGACTTAAATACACAAAGTTTAATTCTCTTATGTAGACAGTCCAGGCCTAGCATGATGTTTGCACAAAGTCCTTAGGACCTACACCCCTTCTTGCTTTCTGCTTTACCACTCTTAGCAAGTATCTCTTATCTAAAAGGGCTGCTAGAGCTTCATCATATCTGCAGTTCAAGCAGCTGCCTGAAGAAAAGCACACTGCATCTCACTGTCTTGTAGTTAGTCCCACAACCACACCTAATTTCAAGGGAAGCTGGGAAGAGTATCCTTTTTTCCATGTAGCTCCGCTAAAAATTGGGTGTTATGTTACAAAGGGATAAGAGAAGGATAGATATTAGGGAAAGTAATGGCAGTCTCTGCCACAGTAGATAAGAGGGGATCTTCTGGACTGTTTTTCTGCTAACATTCTAAAATATTTTGTTGTAAATGTCTAAGCTAGGATATTTAACATAGGGAAAAGTAATTGAGCATACTGCTGTTCAACCAAGCTGATACATGCCAAAGATCTGCTTTTACCCAGCTAATTAAAATATATAAAGTTGTATACAGAGAGAAACTTTTATGAGGATGAAGCAGTTCCACAATTCACTGGGAGTTCTAACCAAAAGGACGGTTGTCTCAGTGCTTCCCTCACGTTCAGTTAACCTTCCAATAATCGGAGTTATTTATCTGTTAGACTATTCCAACCATAGAGAATATCATCAAAAAGGGCTTAGAATTAGAAATGAAGTACTTAGAGCTAGGGAGATGCTAAGTAGGAGAAAGCCAGACGGGAGAGTCTAGGACCTTTTGAAATTAATAATGTATGGGGCACTTACATTTTATTCAAAGCTATTTCTGAAGACCTTATATAAATCAAGACTCATATACTTTAGGACTGATATCTCCATAGGAATAAAGGAAAGTAGAAAGGTCTTTGTTCTTGGTACTGTGAATCTTACATTATAGTTTAGCAGCTGCTTAGAGTGGTATTGATCTTGCCAGCATATTTTCCCTTTATGCTTGTATAGTCAAATGATGCTTTTTATAAAATTAAAGATGTCTCTCTTTAAAAACTACTTTTTATTGTTTCTGCATTATTTCTAATATTCTGTGGCATTTTCAGTCCTAAATAGCAGCATAGTTTAATATGTGTCTCTGTATTTTTATTACCTCTAACTTCTTTTCAGAGACTGATTTTCAGTAAGTTTTTCAGCTTGAGAACTAGTACCACCATTTAATTAATGCTAGCATGATTTTGTTATGTGACATGAAAATATTTTAAGTGAAAATAACATACCAAAATAATAGCAGTCACAAAAGTCACTCACAGGAGTTTGGTGTGTGTGAACAACAAACAGCATTGATTAAATAATACTCTGAAAAAAATGGCAGATATTTCTGTTTACCACCTAATGTCATTTTACTGCTATATGGCTATAGCATAAGCATGTTTCACATTTCATTCAGCCTACCAACATTAAAGTCATGCATTTTTTGACACATTGTTTAGTTTGACACATTTTTTAGTTTGATGGTTTTGCATTATTTCATATATTGATTATAAAGCAAGACTTAGTTAATGTTTTTATGTCACACTGTTTGAAATTCATGAAAATGCAGTTGTACAGAAAATGCAATTGCATTGTATATATTGAGACATAGGCAGTAAATTTCAGCTCTTTGGAATATAACATGAGAAATATCACAGGAAGATAATGGTATAACCAGAGACATTTTTTTCTTACTTTATAACATGACAGTGTGAATTAAATGAAGAGGATGTAAATGCTGTCTGCCTAGTTGCTATAGATACCATATGTTGGAAATTGTATTCTCATTTATAAAGTATTTTATTAGATTTTCCAGTGGTAATGTGAATCCATTCATCATCAGAGAATAAAGTGATTTAGTTTATATACTTCCATCAAGCTGACTTTTGAAATTTTGAAATACCTTTCAAATGTGTTTTTTGTAGTTCACCTAGCTATGCTATGTTGCATTAAACATTTTTCATTTGCCTTTCATGAATTAAATCTTAATTTGGCCTAAAATAAACAACTAATTTGTTTTCAAGTCCTTCAGTGTTCTCCATTTAACATGTTCAGAAAGACTTTATTATATACGGCTGTATGTTACATTCTCAATTTATTTGCATCTCAATTTATTTGCTTTATTTCACTTAGGGATTAACATTTACTGCGGCAAGTCATGTTGTATTTGCTGAGTTGTATTGGGACCCTGGACATATAAAACAAGCAGAAGACCGAGCTCACAGAATTGGCCAGTGCAGTTCTGTGAATATTCACTACCTTATTGCAAATGGAACTCTAGACACCCTTATGTGGGGAATGTTGAATCGCAAGGTAAAGCTTGAATTTAAATCAAGTTAGCAGCTTACTTATTATTAACCATAGCCAACTGAGTTAAGAGGCTGAGTTTTAGTGTTTTCAGGCAAAGGATACTTAAGTACATCAAGATGATGATAATAATAGAGACCAAGTTAAGAAAAGGCTTCAATAGTAGTACCTTGCCTGCTCTCCTCTGTAATAAGAGAGGCATGAATTTCCACATATTCCTGTTATCTTCTAAGCCCTTCTACTACATTAGAGGGACAATGATGGGGTTGGCTAGCAAGGAAACATAATGTCGCGCCATTGCACTCCAGCCTGGGCAAGACTGTGTCTCAAAAAAAAAAAAAGGATTAGATGATTTCTGGATTAGTTTGTTTGGGCAGCCATAACAAAGTACCATAGATTGGGTAGTTTATAAATAATAGAAATTTATTTCTCACACTTCTGGAGGCTAGAAGTCTGAGATTAGGATGCCAGTGTGGTTGAGTTCTGGTGAGGGCCCTCTTCCAAGTTGCTGACTACTGCTTTCCCATTGTGGAAAGAGGTCAAGAAAGCTCTTTGGGGTCTCTTTTATAGGGGACTAAGCCCATTCATGAGGGCTCCACCTTCATGACCTAATCACCTCCCAAAAGCCCCACATCTGAACACCACCAACATTGGGAGTTAGAATTTTAACATCTGAATTTGGGGGGGATACAAGCATTCAGCCCATAGCACTGTTTTTCAATTAAGTGTTTTTAAAGCACTGAATATAGATATTCAAAATGGCCAATCATATGTTGGTTAAGTTTCAAAGCATATAAATATTAGAATAAAAGTTTTTATGAAGAAAGTGAATAGTATAACTTCTCAAGTTAGACTTTTTCTCATTAAGCATGGAACCATTGACTGGGTAATGGGTTATAATTTTGGATAATTATTGCTATGGTGTGAATGTTCATTCCCTCTAAAACTTACTTTGAAACTTAATCCCCACTGTGGCAGTATTGAGAGGTAGGCCATTAAGAGGTGATTGGCCTTCTTTCCCACCCTCTTCTAAAAAAAAGAAAAAAAGGTGATTGGGTCATGAGGGCTCTGCCCTCATGAATGGATTAATCCATTCATGGATTGAGGGATTAATGGGTTATCATAAGAGTGGGCCCGGTGGCTTTATTGGAAGAGGAAGAGAGACCTAAGCTAGCACCACTCAGCCCCCTCCCCATAAGATGGCCTGTGCTGTCTCAGAACTCTGCAGGTACCCACCAGCAAGAAGCCTTCACCAGATGTGGCCCCTCAACCTTAACTTCTCAGCTTCCATAAGAAATAAGTTCATTTTCTTTATATATTACACAATTTCAGATATTCTGTTATAAGCAAAAGAAAACATACTAGATGTCAATGAAGAGTCAAACTGTAAAATATTTTAAGAGATTTACTCTGAGCCAAATATGAGTGACAGTGGCTCATGACACAGCCCCAGGAGATTCTGAGAACTTGTGCCATAGGTGGTTGGGCTACAGCTTGGTTTTATGCAAGGTGGGGTGGAGGGAGGCATTGGTTCCAGATCATAGGTGGATTCAAAGATTTTCTGGTTGGCAGTTGATTGAAAGAGTTTATCTGAAGACTTGGAATACCTGGGTTAAGATAAGGAGTTGTGGAGACCAAGGTTCTTCTTAGGCAGATGAAGCATGCAGGTAGCAGGCTTCAGACAGAACAGATTGTAAATATTTCTTTTTTTTTTTTTTTTTTTTTTGAGACGGAGACTCGCCCTGTCGCCCAGGCTGGAGTGCAGTGGCGCGATCTCCACTCACTGCAAGCTCCGCCTCCCGGGTTCAAGCCATTCTCCTGCCTCAGCCTCCAGTATAGCTGGGACTACAGGCGCCCGCCACCGCGCCCGGCTAATTTTTGTATTTTTTTAGTAGAGACGGGGTTTCACTGTGTTAGCCAGGATGGTCTCGATCTCCTGACCTCGTGATCCGCCCGTCTCGGCCTCCCAAAGTGCTGGGATTACAGGCGTGAGCCACCGCGCCTGGCCACAATATTTCTTATTAGACTTTTTTTTTTTTTTGAGAGATGGAGTCTTACTCTGTCGCCTAGGCTGGAGTGCAGTAGCGTGATCTCAGCTCACTGCAACCTCTGCTTCCCGGGTTCAGACAATTCTCCTGCCTCAGCCTCCTGACCAGCTGGGACTACAGTTGCCCACCACCATGCCCAGCTGAGTTTTGTATTTTTAATAGAAATGGGGTTTCACCATATTGACCAGGCTGGTCTCAAACTCCTGACCTTGTGATCTGCCCACCTCAGCCTCCCAAAGTGCTGGGATTACAGGGATGAGCCACCACTCCTGGCCTCTTATTAGACTTTAAAAGGTGCCAGAATCCTTAGTTAATTCTCTCTGAGATCAGGATAAAGACCTGGAAAGGAACGGGGATTCTCTACAGAATGTAAATTTTCCCCACAAGAGAGAGCTCTGCAGAGCCATTTCATACAAAAGAAATATATTAGGGAGTAAAAGGTTTCCATTTGTTTTAGGGCCTGCTATCTGTCATGTTGGTGTCTTATTGCTACAAAGAATCTGTTTTGTCAGTCTTAAGATCTCTATTTTAATGTTAATGCTGGTCAGCTTTTTTGAGATGGAGTCTCACTCTGTCACACAGGAGTGCGGTAGCAGGATCTCAGCTTACTGCAACCTCCGCCTCCCGAGTTCAAGTGATTCTCCTGCCTTACCCTCCCAAGGAGCTGGCATCACAGGTGTCTGCCACCATGCCCGGCTAATTTTTCTATTTTTAGTAGAGATGGGATTTCACCATGTTGGGCAGGCTGGTCTCAAATTCCTGACCTCAGGTGATCAGCCCCCCTCGGCCTCCCAAAGTATTGGGATTACAGGCCTGAGCCACTGCGCCTGGCCTGTTTCAGGTTTACTTTAGAATGCTCTTTGCCAAGAGGAGGAATCCATTTAGTTGGTTGGGAGGCTTATAATTTTATTTTTGGTTTACAGAGATAATTATATTAATAAAGCCCATGCTATGTTGGAACAGTGAGATTTTCTTAGTGGGTAGCTTATGATTTAAATGCAAAATCAAGTTACTTAGTGAATTTCAGCTGTGAGGTGAACTGCTGAAAAATTCATTTACTTTTTCCTTTTGTAGGCTCAAGTTACAGGGAGCACACTGAATGGTAGGAAGGAAAAAATTCAGGCTGAGGAAGGTGATAAGGAAAAATGGGATTTCCTGCAGTTTGCTGAAGCTTGGACTCCAAATGACAGTTCTGAAGAGTTAAGGAAGGAAGCTTTGTTCACTCACGTAAGATTATATGCCTTACTCTTTTTTATTTTTATTTTTTTAGTATCCTGAAACCATAACTTTGTATGTGTGGTTTTAAATAGCAACTCTTAATTATTTATGGTATTGAAAAGAGACTTCACATAAAACTGGAACCCCCTTAGAACCAAAAATTAACATTATTTTCCAACAGTTTTCGTACTTACTGTTCAGCTCCTCAGATAAACTGAATAAAATTCACAGTTCAGAAGAAAATATAGGAGGCTATCTTTATGACACTGAGAATAGGGAAGCATATATTAAATGTGCCTTAAAACGTGCAAATAATAAAGAAAAAGATTCAGATATTTGAGTATATCGAAATCAAAGGTTTTGTTATACAAAATGTCCTGTATATAAGTCACACACTCAGTAAAGATATTTGCATTACAGTGTCCAAAGTATTTGAAGAATTTATACAACTCAATTAGTAAAGCATAAACAAGTCAACAGAAAAATAGGCAAAGAGCTGGGCATGGTGGCTGATACCTGTAATCCCAGCATTTTGGGTGGCTGGGGCAGGCAGATCACCTGAGGTCAGGAGTTTGAGACTAGCCTGGTCAACACGGTGAAACCCTGTCTCTACTAAAAATACAAAAATTAGCTGGTTGTGTTGGTGCACACCTGTAATCCCAGCTACTTGAGAGGCTGAGGCACAGAAATCGCTTGAACCACCTGAACCAGGAAGGCAGAGGTTCCCATGAGCTGAGATTGTATTGCTACACTCCAGGCTGGGCAACAGAGTGAGACTGTGTCTCTGTCTCAAAAATAAAAAAAAGAAAGAAGAAAAAAAAGAAAAATAGGCAAAGAATATGAGCATCAGAGGATACCTGAATAGCCAATAAACATGAAAAGAAGCTCTACCTCACTAAAATAAGGCAAATTGTAAAGATAATTTTCCTCTTTACTATTTATTAGTAAGTAATTAGCGGTCTAACAATTTCAAAGTATGTGCCCCCCCCCATTCCCAAAACTTGTTACTGAGTGGTTTTAGCATTCATTAATGATATTTGCATGAATCACCTTTGAAATGGTCTTTCTTTTTCTTTTTTTTGAGACAGAGTCTCACACTGTCGCCCTGGCTGGAGTACAATGGCGTGATCTCAGCTCGCTGCAACCTCTGTCTCCCGGGTTCAGGCGATTCTCCTGCCTCAGTCTCCCAAGTAACTGAGATACAGATGCCTGCCACCATGCCTGGCTAATTTTTTGTATTTTTAGTAGAGACAGGGTTTCACTATGTTGGCCATGTTGGTCTCGAACTGCTGACCTTGTGATCCGCCCACCTTGGCCTTCCAAAGTGCTGGGATTACAGGCTTGAGCCACCGCGCCCGGCCTGAAATGTTTTTTCTAATTCCATCATTGCTTCTATATTTATTAGTTGTCATTCTTCTATAAAGAAGACATTTACCTCCCTGCTTTGAAAAAATACGACTATGGACCAGGCGTGGTGGCTCACAGACCTGTAATCCAGCCCTTTGGGAAGCTGAGGTGGGTGGATCAGTTGAGGTCAGGAGTTCGAGATCAGCCTGGCCAACATGGTGAAACTGCATTCCTACTAAAAAAAATTCAAAAACAAAACAAAAAAAAATTAGCCAGGCATCATGTTACATGCCTGTACTCCCAGCCACTCGGGAGACTGAGGCAGGAGAATCACTTAAATCCAGGAAGTGGAGGTTTTGGTGAGCTGAGATCACACACCACACTCCAGCCTGGGTGATGGAGTGAGACTCTGTCTAAAAAAAAAAGAAAAAATTACTATGAACTTAGGGGTTTCAATTATTGTTATTATTTAATGTGTTATAATCCTTTACCTTTTTTTCTTTTTAAGCTTAGATCTGGCTAATGAAAGCTCCTTTAAACTGGCTCCTTTTTTAAAAAAACACATCCTTATAATTCTCTGAGTGCTTCCTTGCTTTCTGGCACACAATATATAACAGGTTCACCTTAATTTTTTTGCCCCAGACCTGGAATTGGCCCATTTCTTTAAGGAGCACTTATTCCCTTTACTGTGAGAGTGATATTTAGAAATTAGGATTTTTTTGTTGTTCCTCTGGGCTGTCATTGCCTCTAGGCTCTTTTCAATGTACAGAATATTTTCTCACGCATATATAAGGATACATGCACAAAGATCTTTATTGTGTCATTTTTTAGAATGCAAAAAATGGAAACAACCAAAATGCCCATCAATAGAAGAATAGATATGTAGATTGTCATATCTTGTAAAATGCTATTTAGAAGTTAAAGTGAATGAGTTATATTTATATGTATCAACATGATGAGATCTTGAAAACACAAAGTTGCTTTAAAAACACATAGCACACACACAGTATAGTCTATGTTTATGAGTACACATATGTAGTAAAACATAAACACACATTGGAAGAATATATATCAAATTTATAAAATTGGTTACCTCTGGGAGAGGAGAATGGACGTGGGGAACAATAAAAGTGTGATAGCAACTTCAGCAAAAATGTTTTATTTCCTTTATTTTATAAAAAGATCAGAAGTACAATATTAATATTTGTAAATTTTCAATGGTGGATACATAGATTTTTGTTGTATTCATTATACATTTCTATATGTAAAAATCCCCCAGTCTCACCTCTAACAAATGCTATTTAGAGATTATTTATAAATTTACTAAGAAATAATATATTAGAGAAATTTGTAATTTATAATGTCTGCTGTTTCCTAGCCTTTTTTTTTTTTTTTAATTCTTATTTTTTTAAAAGACAGGCTCTCTGCCTATCACCCAGGCTGGAGTACAGTGGCATGATTATAGCTCACTGCAGCTTCAAAGTCCTGGACTCAAGAGATTCTCCCATCTCAGCCTCCCAAGTAGCTAGGACCACAGGCATGTGTTACTATGACTGGCTAATTTTTTATGTTTCGTAGAGACAGAGTCTCACTACATGGCTCAGGCTGGTCTCAAACTCCTGGCCTCAAGCAATCCTCCCACCTCTGCATCCCAAAACACAGAGATTAGAAGCATGAACTGCCACCACTCTTGGCCTTCTAGTCTTTTTGGGGTAATATGGTGTCAGAGTTACAGAGAGTTTAATTTTAATTTTTCAAAGAACTGATCAGAAATTATAGGAATAAAATTAATATTTACATTTTTTCTGATAATACAAAATTAAAAATTTAATGTGAAGTTTAATTTCATAAAAATACATTATGTGGAATCGTATTAATTTTTAATTATCTTATTTGGAGGTCTAGTACAATTTTTTTTCTAGAATATTAGAATATAATTCTGTGAAATATTGCTAAAAAATAGATCATTTATAATCGCGTTTAAAAAACGAGTTTTCTTTTTTCTTTTTTTTTCTTTTTGGAGATGGAGTCTTACTCAGTCGCCAGGCTGGAGTGCAGTGGCACAATCTCGGCTCACTGCAAACTCCGCCTGCCGGGTTCAAGCAATTCTCTTGCCTCAGCCTCCCAAGTAGCTGAGACAACAAGCACATGCCGCCATGCCTGGCTAATTTTTTGTATTTTAGTAAAGACGGGGTTTCACCTTGTTGCCCAGGCTGGTCTCCAACTCCTGAGCTCAGGCAATCTGCCCACCTCGGCCTCCCAAAGTGCTAGGATTACAGGCATGAGCCAACGCGCCCAACCAAGTTTTCTTTCAACAATGCTTATTATATTATATTCTGGTCTACAATAAAGTGAATAGAAATCCTAGCTATTTTTAAAATATATAAATAAGCCTATGATTTGTGGCTGTTCTTTCTCTAAAACTTCCTATCAAACTATGTTTACCAGTTCATTTCTAAGATAGGTATTAAGAATTTGAAATAAATCTTCCTACATATGTATATGTTTGTTTTTAAAAGTTTATCTGAAGAAAATATATATTTGTGTACACAATTTTAAAAAATCACCCATACCAAATTTTACTTTCTTGAGTTAGGTATATCTTTCATGGTTCGGTGTTGTCTTATATGTTTTCCAATACTTGTCTTTGTACAAATGCAGTTTGATGTGAATTGGAATCCTAGAATGTAGGGATCTTTTGTTTGTTTTGGTTAGTTTTGCTTTGTTGGTATTTACTTGTTATATGGCCAGCATGTGAAGTGTGCTTTGATTGACTTTAGGTGGGTGCGCCCTCTCACCACTCTGTCTATACCCTCCCAGCTTCATGCAGTTTAAGAAATGTTCAATTGGCTGGGCGCGGTGGCTCAAGCCTGTAATCCCAGGACTTTGGGAGGCCGAGATGGGCGGATAACGAGGTCAGGAGATCGAGACCATCCTGGCTAACACGGTGAAACCCCGTCTCTGCTAAAAATTACGAAAAACTAGCCCAGCGACGTGACGGGCGCCTGTAGTCCCAGCTACTCTGGAGGCTGAGGCAGGAGAATGGTGTAATCCCGGGAGGTGGAGCTTGCAGTGAGCCGAGATCGCCCCACTGCACCCAAGTCAATAATATATTAAATATATTCAATATATACTTATTTTATACTTATATTATTATTGAGTAATATATTCAATATATTCAATATATACTTGACTATATAATATTCAATCATATATTCAAGTATATATAGTACACATATAGTATATATATACACTTGAATATATATTATTCAAGCATTTGAATAATACCTTAAATGAAACTAATCCACACAAATGTATGAGTGACAATTCTTTACCCATGCTAGATGTATTTACATTTTTTAAGAAATTACAGTATTTATTAACCCAAATGAAACTCAAATTGAAGTCCAACTCAAGTAAAAAGAAAAAATTCCATCACCACAAGGAAAGATACTTTTGCACAGCCCAGTTGGCTGTCCCATAAGTAAGCAGTCCTGCCTTGGAATCCATCACCAGGGTCACTGTCTAAGATGTGGTCAGTCCAATTTCCACTGCTTCTTCCCTTCTTCTACTTCTGAATGTGTCTGACTTCTAAGTACTATTTTGGCTTTGAGGTGTTTTGATTTCCCTACAGTGGCTTCCATTGAGTGATAGTGTAGGTC